CCACCTCCCTCTCCGCACGCCGCGCTCGATTCCCCGCCCCCGATCCCGCGGCGCCGGTTCCGGGGCCGGCTGTCGTGTGCGCATCCTCGCCGCCCGTGCCCCGATTCGCGCGTGCCGTGTGCCGCGCGCTGCCGGATTCTAGCCGTCGACGCCGATGGATCGATCGGCGGGCGGGCGGTTGCTTCCCCGTTGTTAGATTGGTTCGGAGAAGAGGACGGGCGGTCGCTTCCCCCGCCCCGCCAGCCATCGGTTCCGGCGTATTCCGTCGAACTCGATCGTAGTTGCCCTCCTTCTCTGGTTATTACGGGATGTATTCGCCGTGTTGACGTGGTAATCGAGGCTTCAACGAAAAGTAGAGGGGACGAATAAAAATATACTGGGATTGGACTGAGAAAAAAGAGGGATCACGTCAGATTAGTACATATATGTAGCAGTAGTAGTAGAGCACCAACAACATGGCTGGGCTCAGCGAGGTGTACGAGTGCCGTGCTCACAACCCCTGAAGTATTCCTCATTGAAGTTTATTAAGTGGGCTATCCTTCCTCTGTACCGAACTTGGCGGCGTAGATTCGAATGTGCTAGTGGTATTTGCTTCCTTGATGAGGAGCTTGCGCCAAGTGCACACTTCGATTTATAGCAGTTTGTAGTGTAACGTGTGCGTCGGCGAATCAGAAGATTGCGTAAGATGCGCGTAGCGACAAATATGACATTCGGATGCGCTGACGAACGTGTCGTTTTCCTGTTTCCCTTATTCAGTACCATATTATTTATTACTCAGCATGTTAGTCCATACTTAATTGCAAATCCTCCCCGTTGCCGTTTCAGGTGAATCCAGTTGCTGCTTAAGTGGGTTTCCTTTGTACCAAACCTGAAGGTATATATATTTCGTATATGCTACTAGCATTACTTACTTGAGGAGCTTGCGCCAAGTGTACGCTTAAATTTATAGCAGTTTGTAATGTAATGTGTCGGCAAATCAGAAGATTGCGTAAGATGCGCGTGGCGACAAATATGCCATTAGGACGCGCTGACGAACGTGTCGTTTTCCTGTTTTCGTTTTTCAATTACCATATTTTTTATTACTCAGCATGTTAGTCAACACTTAATTTCAAGTTCTCCCAGTTGCTGTTTCAGTTGAATCCAGTTGCTGTTTAAGTGGGTTTCTGTTATACCAAAGTTTAAGGTATATATAGTTCGTCTATGCTCCTGGCATTTCTTCCTCGAGGAGCTTGCACCAAGTGTACACTTGCTTTAGAGCAGTTTGTAATGTAATGAGCTTGCAAATCAAAAATTGCGTAAGGTGCGCGTAGAGACAAATATGCCATTAGGATGCGCTGACGAATGTGTCGTTTTCCTGTTTTCCTTATTCAATACCATGTTAATGTACCATATTATTTATTACTCAACATGTTAGTCCACACTTAATTTCAAATTATCCCTGTTGCTGTTTCAGGTGAACCCAGTTGCTGTTTAAGTGGGCTTCCTTTGAACCATACTTGAAGGTATATATTTCGTATATGCTACTGGCATTACTTCCTTGAGGAGCTTGCACCAAGCGCACGCTTTGCTTTATAGCAGTTTGTTATGTATTGCGTTGGCGAATCAAAAAAGATTGCGTACAAACTGCGCATAGCGACAAATATGCCATTCGGATGTACTGAAAAATGTGCCGGTTTCCTGTTTTCCTTATTCAATGCCATTATAACGTACCATATTATTTATTACTCAACATGTTAGTCCAAGAATTTGAAATTCTTTACGTTGCTGTTTCAGTTGAATCCTTCTATAGCTAGATCCAGAAATTTGCACATCACATGGATTTTCTTACCCTAACCGAGGATCCTTATCCCTTGTGATGAGTGAAATCTTGTTCTTCTTTCAGAATGAGTTAGTTGTGCCTTTATTTGTGTCTCTTTTGACGTTGTTGTCTTAAGAGTTATAAGAGAAAAGAGCTAGTCTGCATTTGTTTTGTTGGTTTAATGTTAATTGAGCTAAACACGCTGTCTGAATTGCTAATGTTGTTTTCGACCAAATTCTTTTGTCCTCCTGTTGTTAACTTGAAACTTATTCTCTGTGTTTCAGTTAAACGCAAGGCTTCACAGTTCCTGGGAATCTGCCTGTATAGCTTCCTTCAAGCATGGAGAACCTACCAAATGTTCCTGCAAGTATTGCTGAGAAGAACCAGGGAAATGAGACATCTGATGATGCTGGCGAGCCTGAAGAAGTAGCAGACGTATTTGTTTACAGAGAAGATGTCGTCAGCTTGAAATCAAAGAAAAATGCCCGTGGTTTGGTGATGGAAGTAGCTGGCGAATATGATTCTGAAGGTAGCATCACTGATGATGAATCTGATGCTGAGGAGAATGAGCGTAAAAGCGCTCATAAAACTGAAAATTTTGGTCCTGACGGTGATAATGCCAATAATGCAAGTCATGGAGATGATGTTGACAGTCAGAGCTCTCTGCCTGATAACAAGGTTAGGGTGTTATGGATTGACGGAACAGAGATGACGGAAGATATTGACAGTGTGGTGGTTGTTGACAGAACTTTCCTCCATGGGGACATGGTTGCTTCTTCCTCAGATCCAACTGGTCAGATGGGGCTTGTTGCGGATGTCAGTCTTGTGGTTGATTTGCAAGGTGCTCATGGAGAGATGATTAAGGGTGTATCTGCCAAGGATTTGAGACGCATCAGGGAATTCAATGTGGGTGATTATGTTGTCTCTGGGCTATGGCTTGGTCGGGTTGATGAAGTGTTTGATAATGTTAGTGTGTTGTTTGATGATGGTTCTGTCTGCAAGGTTTCAAGGGCAGATCCTATGCGCCTAAGGCTTGCCTCAGGGCCAATGCACCCAGATACAGCCTGCCCCTTTTATCCAGGACAGCGTGTGAAGGCAGTGTCTTCATCTGTGTACAAAACATCCAGATGGCTTCATGGGATGTGGAAAGCAAGTCGTCTTGAAGCTACTGTCACAAAGGTGGAAACTGCTGCTGTCATAGTCTATTGGATTGCATCTGCACACTGTGGTACAAATCAAGATTCTGTCCCCCCTGAGGAGCAGAACCCAAAGGATCTGACTCTTCTGTCTTGCTTTTCATATGCAAGTTGGCAATTGGCTGAATGGTGCCATCCTCAACCACACACATCATCATGTGCCAATGACGCTTTAATGGAGTGTTCAAAAATGAAAGAGCTCAATTCTGAGCAGGCTGATGTTCCTGAATCTTTCGTTGATGTTCAGGCTGAACAGGCTCAAAATACTAAAACAGATGTAAATCCCCTGGAGAAACATGGTGATTCTCTTGCAGATCGATCAAATATGTCAGATGGAGATAATACATGCGTAGCCAAAGATTCAGAATCTGGCGCTAGTGTATCAACCCTTCCAAAGGAGGGAGTGCATGACCATGCTACTTACAGAAAGAAGATCAGAAAAGTTTTTGTAAGAAAGGATAAAAGAGCAAAAAGAAGAGACGAGAGCTTTGAAAGTGCCCTGCTTATTGCAGATACATATACAAAGGTTGATGTACTGTGGCAAGATGGGAGAAAAGAATGTGGAGTAAGTTCCACGTCACTGATCCCGATCCAGACTCCAAATGATCATGAATTCTTCCCAGAGCAGTATGCTGTAGAAAAGGTCTCTGATGATGTTGACCAGCCTTCTGAAACAAGGCGTGTGGGTCTTGTTAGAAGTGTTAATGCAAAGGACCGAACTGTGTCTGTATCATGGTTTAAGTCTTCGTTGCACGCACAGGAGCCTAGGGAAATTGAGTGCACTGAAGTTGTTAGTGCATATGAACTTGATGGCCACCCGGATTATGATTATTGCTATGGAGATGTTGTTGTTCGCTTGCCATCTGTTTCACATCCTATGGAATCATCCAATGGTGGAAACACCATGGAGCTGGACAAGAATGTAGATTCTGAAGAAGCATCGTCTGCTTCAAATGCAGTGCCCCCTGATGTTGCTGCAGAGGAACAGCTTTCACAGAAGGAATCTAGTTCAGAAGTTACCCACCTCTCATGGGTTGGAAATATAGTGGGCTTCCAAGATGGTGAGATTGAAGTCACTTGGGGTGATGGGTCGGTGTCAAAGGTATTACAGCTGTGCTCTTTTAACAGGAAGTGTCATCATTTATGTGAAAGAACTACCATTAGGAGTTTATTGTTATCACATATCAACTGCAGAATCGTTTGTTTTTTTAACTTTTGCCTTGTCCTTCCACTGAGGATTGTCCAGCTTAACCTTTTGTAATCATGTTCCTCTTACCGTTTTACCTGAGACTTGCAGAAAGCTAACCTGCTCTATTCATGACCTGTATATTTTGCTAATGGTCTCGTATTGTTATTTCAGGTTGGGCCTCATGAGATATATGTTGTTGGCCGAGAAGATGACGGTGGCTCGATAGATGATGGAGCTCCTTCCGATGCTGGTAGCTGGGAGACAGTTGATGACAATGAAATGGACTTGCCTGATGATCCTGCAAATGTATTATCTGCTGCTAGGATACCATTTTTTTGGGTCCAGTCATTCCTCTCCTTAGCACCTTTTAGCTTCTTTTTGTTCCCTTTATTGATTGCTGCTTTCTGTTTCAGGATGATCTGCAAAATGCAGTCCAGAATAGCATTGAAATGGAAAATGGGTCATTCAATTCCCAAGATGAAACTTCTGTTGGAAGTGGTCCACTCTCTGTTGCTTTTGGCTTTGTTACGCGACTGGCGAGTGAGATCTTCGCCCGAGGTAAAAAGCATTTAGATGGGTCAAACTCAGATGCTATGGATGAAGTTGAATCTCAGCAGTCTAACGAGGTTTCAGAATCTGGTGATGACATTGATAAAAACGAGGATGAGAACCGCATGGCAGCATCGGAGAGCACCACTGTGACAACAAATGACACTAATGCTGAGAAGTCCGTAGATGTAGTTATGGCTGATGAGCCTGCAGATTCTGATTGCTTGAAACACTTTGATGTTCTGCAGTGCCCTCCGGACCATCACTACCTTGAAAACATAGCACATGTAAGTACTTTTGTGTCACATCCATACATGTATTACACTTTTGTGTCGCATCTTGAACAAACATTTGTTTTTAAGGGCATTCTTTTTTTTTGATAAGTTTGTTTCTGCTGTAATATTTTGTTATTATTTCTTCTCTTGCTTACAAATAGCCAAACAATGTTCCAGGGTACCGGTGGAAGAAAGTGGGTCAAAAAAGTTCAGCAAGAATGGGGCATACTGGAGAAGAATCTACCAGGTCTGTTTTGTCTTCATCTGGTACCACGGTTGAACCATAAAAAGAGTGAAGACAAGTATGTTACGGTTTTCTGATAATTCTTTCTACTGCAATTGTAGATTATATTTATGTCAGGGTATTTGAAGATCGTATGGATCTGATGAGAGCTGTGATTATTGGAGCAAGTGGCACACCATATCAAGATGGTCTGTTCTTCTTTGACTTCTATCTTCCACCTGAGTTTCCACAAGCTCCTCCGGTAATTACCACAATTAAACTATTTTTGTTACCACAGCTGCTTTCAGTTTACGTTTTAAGTGAGCCCATGGAGCTTGATGTCTGCTGATACTGCCTTCAACTTTCCAATCTCTAACATCTGTTATCAAATCTGCAGTCGGCATACTATCATTCTGGCGGCCTGCGTGTAAATCCAAACCTTTATGTGGATGGGAAGGTTTGTTTAAGCCTCTTAAATACTTGGACTGGCAGAGGGAATGAAGTATGGGATCCATCCTCATCTAGCATTCTCCAAGTACTAGTTTCACTCCAGGGGCTGGTTCTCAATGAAAAGCCCTATTTCAATGAAGCTGGATATGAGAAGCAAGTCGGTACTGTTGAAGGGGAGAAGAATGCACTGCCATACAACGAAAACACATATCTGCTAAGTGTGAAATCCATGTTGTATATCTTGAGGCGACCTCCTATGGTAATACACCCCCCTCCCCCTCTTGACAACCATTGCATTGGTGTCATACTGTCATTAAGTAGTTAATAATTCAGCCAGGCTAATCTTTTCTTAATAACAAGACTATTTTTCTTGGCACCATGTTTAACCTTTCTACTTCTCTGTCATGAGCCAATATGTATTTACCGTTTCTTTTCTTAATAACAAGAATAGTATTTTTCATGATTATTGCGAGTACCATAACGTCCCTAAGGTTTTAGTTACTGAGGTTCTGTTTTTAGTTGATATAAAACCTGAACCATCACCAGCATCAGCACAGTGTTTCTTGAAGACAACCTTTTGATTTAAAATGGAACTACATTACGGCCTAGCTCTCACACATGTAGACATGCAATCACATCTCCTGAGGTTTTTCTATCTTAATTGCATACCATCGAGAACCTTTGCCAAAACTTTGATATAATCCTTTGATGTTCTGATTGTTACATGTACTGTTGCTGCAGAATTTCGAGGATTTTGTGAAAAGTCACTTCTGCAAGCGCGGCCACTACATTCTCAAAGCTTGTGAGGCCTACTTGCAAGGAGCTGTGGTCGGCACGCTGAACGACGATGCCTGCCCTCCCACCGATTCTAACAAGGAGTACTCTTGCTCCATGGGCTTCAAACTTGCATTGGGCAAAATCTTGCCAAGGTTGATCACAGCCCTGAAGGACATAGGAGCAGACTGCAGCCAGTATGAGCACCTTGGGAAGACCGAAACCGCTCAAGAAAGCTGAACACCGAGCTGAGGGCTGTATTCAAATCTTCTCTTGGCTTGAGAAAACATGATAAAACTTCACCGCCGCTGTTTCCGTATAAATGTACATTCAACATTTGTTGTTTTATTATCTGAACATTTGGGAAACGTGGTTCCAAATGAATCCATCATCTCTTCCAAACTGGGAATTGAGGTGTGTCCTGCACAGTTTATGTTTTTGTTAAGCTTTGTGGGTTTGTTGTTAAGGTACCCTTATATTAATTTAAAGGCCAGACCAGCATTGCAAGATTAAGCCTAGAAATTCCAAGGGTAGAGATGCAGCTGGCTAAATGATGATGGCATTTTCCTTCTGCGGTACTCCTTTTGTTTTTATGTACTCTGTACATTAGGTTTGTCTGAAGTCAAACATTATATTTCTAACAAGTTTGTAGATAAATATATTAACATATACACCACCAAATCAATACATTATTGCATATGTTTTCACATCATATAAATTTGTTACTCCAGTCAAGTCAAAACTAGTACGTGTAGTAAATAAAAATGGCGGGAGCAAGTACCTCCAAAGATATGCCTGGCCATGTGTACCTGAAAAATAAAGATAGTGGCTCCTTTGCTTTTCTCAAGAAAAAAAAAACTGTTTCACAAATCACAATTGACCAAACTGAAATCTTGGCATTGAAAACACAATATGGTCCAGTACTGGGCAACTGGTTTAAGTTGTTGGTGCGCGTCCCATAGGGATGTACTGGAACTATGCCTTCCCTTGACGCTTCAAAACGGTCTCCAATTCGTTGAGCATTATTTCTTCTATCCAATGTTCATGCCGTGCTAGCTAAGCTGGTGCCAGCATATTTGCAATATGAACGTACTACATCATAGACATAGTTTAGAGTTTAGATTCATATGTTTTGCTTCGTATGTGGTCCATACTGAAACCTCTAAAAACTTATAGTATTTGGGAACGGAGGAGTACATGGCACATGTAGGTGGATAGTGGAAGCTCAACAGCGCACATAATGTACACATTCCTACACATACATAGATAGATGCCCGTGTAGTGCACATGCATCACATTAGTTGTTTCATACAATGGATATCTACCACTGGCGTTCCACTAAGGACTTTTGACTTCAAATTTAAAATATATTTGACCAATGTATTTTGCCACAATTCACATTGGTATGATTGGACACATTTAAAATTTCACGGAAGACATTCGAACAGACATGTCAATTTCTGGCATGTCATCGCGTGTCCCTTTCATTTCACAATGCCTCATTAGTTCTTGGTCTTGCTATTCTAAAAACTAAAATAGTTTGTGCCATGTTTATGAAGATTAAATCCCATTCCTCGTCTTTAAGGACAACCGAATAAATAATAAATAAATAAATAAATAAGTGAGCAATTCAAAACAAAAGGAAGAAAGGATATTTTTATAGGAATAAACATGAAAGGAATTCAGGCTTCCTTTCTTATTTGATAAACACAAATGAATTATTCAGAGTTATGATATTGTTCCATGCTTAGAGAAAAGAAACACAAAGTCAGTTCTTTTTTTAAGGGAGAACACAAGGACACATCATTCTATCAAGGAAAGTGGTACAAATTCTACACAGATGAACCACTTTTATCGGTGAATGCTTGTTGCTTGTGGCGGCGGCGGCGGCAGCTGTGCTGCTCGATGACCGCTAGGGCGAGGACATGCATGTCAGTATATGGATCAACACTTTTACACAACTCATATAGGACACACCTGCCTTGTTTGTTTCACTCCAACATCTCATAGCCCACTATTAAGTCCATGACCACATGCTTCCAATTAAAGCTAAAGCTTACAGACTTGCTACTATTTTTTACTTGAGGAAGGAATACACTTTGTGATGGACTATATATATACGAGCTACATGTCATACGATGGACATGTATCTAGCCATGATTATATTACTGCACCATGTATGCAATTCGTTTGTGCTAATGACACATTGTTTCTCTTACTCTTCACATGAAGAATGCATGCACAACATGAACATGTGCGACTACTGGAAATTTAACAGGTTCCAGAAGCTATATTTTACATTTATTTGAGGAGAAATGCAGTTGGCATGCCCACCGATGATTCCTACTCCACTTAGAGGAGAAATGAGCACCCTTTCTCCACGGGTTTCAACCTTGCATTAGGATTTTTTTTGCCATGGTTGGTCACAACCTTGTAGGAGATTGGATCATACCGCAACCAGAACGGACACCTTGGCAAAACAGAAACCTCTGTTCAAGAAAGTTGAACACTAAGCTGAGAGTTGTATTCATATCTTTTTTTGGCATGAGAAACATGATAAACTTCACCCCTATGTTATTTTCGTATAAACTTTATGTAACTCTTCTACTTCAAGTAAAAATTATTTTGTCCTTGCCCGATAATAAGCACTACCAGCTGGTTGATGAAGCATAATCATCCCTGTGTGAGGTAATTTTATACGCTTGGTGCCAATAGCTTCTTGATGTTGGTTAAGTGATTGAAGTTCTCATGTGGAGTTGATGTTTTTGTCTGAACATTTGGGAAACATGGTTCCAAATGAATCCTTCTCTTCCAAACTGGG